TCAGCCTTGGAGCTATAGATACCCGTCATGTCCATGTCGGTGACGGGCTCCTTCTCTGCAATTGAATTTTAACTAAGGCTGAATCAAATCTCGACTTACGCCAAATACCACGCACCCTCGTTGTGTATTAGCTCAGACTTGGAGTTGGCCGAGAGAGATCTAAACAGCGCCGCCGAATTAGGTCTGTAGGTGTCCAGGGAGGCGGACAGCTCCATGAGTGGCTTCATGATGCCCTTCAGGTGCTGCAGTTGCTCGCAGGCGAAAATCAGCCAGGAGCAGAACATGACGTCGCACAGATTCGAGTGGACCATGGAGAAGAGCACGTAGTAGACCTGCAGAGCAAAGCTGATCATGTAGAACATGCCGTGGCTGGCATCCCACGGATAGAAGGCCTTGATGGGCAGCCTGGGTATCTCGACGGTAATGCTAGAATTCGTCTCCTTGTCCACTGCGAATTTCACACTTTCCCCAAAGAAGGTGATCGTGGTCCAGGCCGTGGCCGAAGCGAACGTTGTCAGCATGACCAGAAAGAAGAGCTTGCGCATCTTGGCCAAGGCTATGGAATGGTAACGGGCATCCGATTCTGCGAACAGGGGATGCGTGTTGGCCTGGTTCCAGATGTTCAAGGTTCTAACAGAAACAAGCTTATGTATGCGCTTCGCAATCTCAGCACTAGCTCTGCTCACCTGTAAAAGTTCTTTTGATTCACGGCCAGGTAGACGAACTTCACAATGCAATGCGTAAAGAATAAAGTGGTTATCGTATTTCCGGACAGCTCGTTAACCTCTTCGGCATTCAGTGCCAGATTGACCAGGATGAATCCTACGTGCATGACGATCAATACCAAGTGAACGGATGAGTAAATCCGCTTGAAAAAGATGCTCCCGCCAGTAAAGTTGTGCATGAACAGTCCAGAGTACCGCATCGCCCGGATGTTGGGCATCAAGTCGGCAACCAAGCCCGTGTACTTGCCGGGCTGCATTGATGTAGCCATCGTGTCTCAAGATCGTGCAACAAAGTTGAAGGTTATCCTTTTGTCCAATGTCCTGTGTGTGTAAAATTAGAAAGTCCAGACTATTAATACTTTGTCAATAATTAAGCATCCCAAATTTTAAACACTTGTCAAACTATTGCAATTGACCATTAATTCGCTTGACACCAATAATTGAAGTGGAATTATTGTCGATTGATATTATCGCTGCTCTAGCTAACTTGCCTCCTTCAAGTCTTCGATGGTAATGAAAACGCAAATCTCGAGCCACGAAAACTTTGCTGGTAAATCAAATTTCCCTTCACTCATTCTTTGGTTAAATAAATACATACCGAGTCCATGTAGATTCCAGACCTAGAGGAACGTGGTCTTTGAAAATAAAATTCACACGCAAGCCAACTACGGCTGAACCAGACTGCGTCATACTCGCTCACGCTCAAATCTATGAAAAATATTATTTTTGGCCCAGCTGAATATGCAGAACTGACTTCTATCTATTTAATCTCAACATTATATATTTTAGTATACAGTTAAACAATTGAAGTTCCTACAGATAAACGTCTATCATGACTGCTAGCACGCAAAACCAATAGACTCGCTTCAAATTGTAAGCGCGTATACAATCGGTGTTTCCAGGGGCCAAGTACATAAGGCAAGGACACGTCTGCTCGACACTAGTTGGGACAAGCCGACGCTATTGGGCCTCTCTGCTCTACTCTACTCTGCTCTGTCCCTGACAGCTTGACCGTCTGTGCATGTTAATGAAAATCTATGGCCTATAGCTAGTTTATACAATTTACAGTCAACCACAATGGACAGACTGTGAGATTCCCACAATTATAATACAAGCTACAAAGTTTCGCCTCCTGCCACTCCTGATAAATGCGTAATGTGCGATTGCAAAGTGTGCCATTGGCTTTCTGATTTGTTTTATAAAAATCGGTTTTATCCATACTTTAGGTACATCGATTTTTGGCGGTGGCGTCTTTACTTAAGCAAATAGTAGCCGGTTCCATTACATGTATTATCAGCTTTATTAGTACTGAAGAAAGAGGCAAGGGGTACATTTAATAATGCTTCAATTACATTTTAATGCGCCTAACATTAATATATTAACATTACTAATTAGAGATTAGAGGTTTTTATTTGAGTAAACAAAAAATTCTGGAATATAAATATTCGTACATTCATGTGTATGGCTACAGTCGTCTGTGCGTAAGACGGCCCGCATGAAAAATTAGAAATCAATATCAAATATTCGAATCAAAACTGTTTCTTGTGTGTGTGTGTGTGTGTGTGTGTTCGTGTGTGTATCTGCATCATTCTCCTTAAAATCTAAATTTATTCGCAAATTACTTTCGAGCTACGTGGCCTTCAGGAAATGGGGCCAGAACAAATGTTAAGCACAAGCGAACAATACCAACAACAACAAGAACAAGAACAACAGCAATAGCTAACTGATTGAAAGTACATGTAAGAAAATATCTCAACAAATATGTCAATGTGTGGGTGTGTCGATGTTTATGGATATGTGTGTGTAACGCTCACTGTTGTCAATTTAGCCTTTTTCCAGACAGATCTATCGCTTGTTCAGCTAACAGAGCCCCATCTTCCTTATCCTTGAATAAAATATTGCGACATCGTTTTTACTAGCTATGTTAGGGCAGTCGAATAAGCCATATAATTAATTGACTTGTATCAAACTGTATTCATCACTTTCTATTTTTATACATGACTAAATTTATTGTGTTAAATAAATTGCTCTCTTTCTCTCTCTCCTCCTGTTGTCCATTAAAGAATTTGGAGATTTGGTGATCGCAGTAAATATAAATAATGTAATT